TTAAATCATTATTGACATTTTTCTGTGTGTTTTCGTTGATGTTAAAATAATATCCCTTAATTACTTATTCAACATGTCGCACTCGTATATTATTTAATGACATTACGGCGAACTAGTACATATTGCTATAAATGTGCATTCATCATACGAATTACAAACTATCCACGTACGTATTGATAATTCATTTAAATGTTTTTATATTTTTCACATTTCAATAACTAATATTTTTCTAGGTTATTATGCGATCTTCGAATTGCTGTTTAATATATTATTATTTATTTCTGCGCTAATTAGAGAATAAATATGTGTCTTTATTTATACTTTAACAAGCACATTCATTATTTTATCGTATTTCCCCTTATGATGCCGTATATTTTCTTGCTTATATTTCATATTAAAAAACATCGTAAAACTTAAGTCTTATAAATGAGCATTTAAAATGTAGCATAACCCTATTATACTATAAACATTGAGTTACACAACACTATAAATCAATGACTATAAACATAAGCGCATACATTCTTGTGATCGACTCGATTCATTTAGTTGATGGTAGTTTTTTTCTTACCTCGTTATTTTTGTTGTAAAATACTTTGATTATGCTCTTACTTTTAAAATCAGTTTTTTATTCATTTTAACTTAAGAAAGCTCGGTAGTAAATAGAAGCACTTATTCGTATATTATTGCTAACGCAAGCAACTTATTATTTTCTTGATATTGATAAGAGTTCTAAGCATTAAAATTATTGTGGTTGTTATTATTTACTTAAAATATGTTTAGGTTTATTACGAAATTAGTGTTTTTTTTATTACAATCGCTAAAAAAAAGCATATATTATCAAAACGTTCGCGGTCTGAAGACGAAATGCTTAGAACTGGGTCTAAATATTTTGCGTAATGATTATGACATAATTATTCTGACGGAAACATGGCTTCATAATGGTATTTTGAACGGGGAGTTAGATGATGATAGATACAATGTATTAAGTGCGAACCGTGACCTTAACGTTAGCGATAAAAAGACAGGTGGTAGTGTATTGACCGGGCCCGAAGCTCTTCAGTTCCGTCCTCCATGGTGGCACTACTCCGGAGGCGTGGAGCAGAAGTGCGGTGGTCTTGTTCTTCAAGAAAGGCGACAACGCCCTCTTAAAGAACTACAGACCGATTTCCCTTCTGAGCCGCGTCTACGTGCTGTTTTCGAGAGTCATTACGAATCGTCTCGCACGCAGAATCGACGACTTCCAGCCTCCCGAACCAGCCGGTTTCCGAAAAGGCTTCAGTACCATAGACCACATACATACCCTGCGGCAGCTTGTACAGAAGACCGAAGAGTACAATCTGCCACTTTGCCTGGCGTATTTGGACTATGAGAAAGCCTTTGATTCCGTCGAAATTTGGGCGATGCTACAGTCCCTTCAGCGGTGCCAAGTTGACTGTCGGTATATCGAAGTGCTGAAGTGTTTGTACAGTAGAGCTACGATGGCTATCCGAGTACAGAACCAGAGTTCGAAACCTATCCAACTGCAGAGAGGTGTAAGGCAGAGGGACGTTATATCCCCGAAACTCTTCACCGCTGCATTGGAAGACGTTTTCAAGCGTCTACTGGATCACAAATGGAAAGGATACGGTATTAACATCAATGGCGAGTATATCACTCACCTTCGATTTGCCGACGATATAGTCCTTATGACAGAATCGCTGGAGGACCTAAGCACTATGCTCAATGACCTCAATGGTGTCTCCCAAACAAAACAAAGATCATGTTTAATATCCATGTCACACCTATACCGGTAGTTGTTGGGAGCACTATGCTCGAAGTTGTTGACGAATACGTTTACCTGGGACAAATAGTCCGACTAGGTAAGTCCAACTTCGACCGAGAGGTCAATCGAAGGATTCAACTCGGCTGGGCAGCGTTCGGGAAATTACGACACATCTTCTCGTCAGGTATACCTCAATCTCTGAAAACTAGATTGTACAACCAGTGCGTATTGCCAATGATGACTTACGGATCTGAGACGTGGTCCTTCACTGCTGGCCGTATGAGGACGCCCAAGGTTGCTCGGAGTTTTCCTGCGTGATAGACTCAAAAATGAGTATATCCACAGTAAAACCAGAGTGACCGACATAGCCCAACGGATTAGTAAGCTGAAGTGGCAATGGGCCGCCCACAAAGCTCGAAGAACTGATAACCGATGGGGAAGAAAGGTTCTCGAGTGGCAGCCTCGTACTAGTAGGCGTAGTGTAGGGCGACTAGTGGTATTTTTTCATTATCAATGTTATATATATATATATATATATATATATATATATATATATATATATATATAAAAAAAATATAAATCAAAAAACACAAATTTATTTATCACTTTAGTAGCAGTAGTTAATATTACAAATATCTTTTTGGACCTTTACGTCTATCAAATTAATCATTAATTTAATACTAATGATAAATAAATTTTTACCTTTACGAAAAACTCATCCATTATTTAAAATTATTAATGGATCATTAATTGATTTACATTCTCCATCTAATATTTCATTATGATGAAATTTTGGATCATTATTAGCATTATGTTTAATCATTCAAATTTGAACTGGACTATTTTTAACTATATATTATACTGATAATATTGAATTAGCTTTTTACAGAGTAAATTATATTTGCCGAAATGTTAATTATGGATGATTAATTCGAACTTTACATGCTAATGGAGCTTCATTTTTTTTATTTATTTACATATTGGACGAGGATTTATTATCAATCATTTAATTTAAAATATACCTGAATAGTAGGAGTCATTATTTTATTTATTTTAATAGCTACAGCATTTATAGGATATGTTTTACCTTGAGGACAAATATCATTTTGAGGAGCTACAGTTATTACCAATCTTTTATCTGCTATTCCTTATTTAGGAACAATATTAGTAAATTGAATTTGAGGAGGATTTGCTGTTGATAATGCTACTTTAACTCGATTTTATTCATTTCATTTCTTATTTCCATTTATTATTTTAATATTAACTATAATTCATCTATTATTCTTACATCAAACGGGTTCTAATAATCCTTTAGGAATTAATAGAAATTTAGACAAAATTCCTTTTCATCCATTTTTTACTTTTAAAGACCTAATTGGATTTATTATTCTATTAACATTATTGATTATATTAACATTAACTAATCCTTATCTTTTAGGAGATCCTGATAACTTTATTCCCGCTAATCCTTTAGTAACTCCAATTCATATTCAACCTGAATGATATTTTTTATTTGCTTATGCAATTTTACGATCTATCCCAAATAAATTAGGAGGAGTTATTGCTTTAGTTATATCTATTTTAATTTTAATTATTCTTCCTTTAACCATTAATAAAAAAATTCAAGGAATTCAATTTTACCCTATTAATCAAATATTATTTTGATCTATAGTATCTATTATTATTTTATTAACTTGAATTGGAGCTCGTCCTGTTGAAGACCCTTATATTATTACTGGTCAATTACTTACTATTTTATATTTTTCTTATTTTTTAATTAATCCTATTATTAATAAATTTTGAGATAATTTAATTTTCAATTAATTAATGAGCTTGTTAAAGCATTTGTTTTGAAAACTTATGAAAGAATAATTTTATTCTATTAATTTATACTAAAATTAATAACTAAATTAAAAGTATTTTAATCCTACAAAAAATAATAAATAATTTAAAGAAATATGTAAATATCTTTTTCAAGATAAATATATTAATTTATCATATCGATAACGAGGTAATGTTCCACGAACTCAAATAAAAAAAATGAAATAGAAATTAAGGTGGAGTGGGGTAAATACGAAAATAGGCTAATTCCGAAAATCACAAATTACTACTAAACGCAACATGCGTTTGTAATCTGGCAACATTTACTTAGACGCCGTCTTATTCCCCTTCCCCGCTTTAATTCGCTCAGAGCGCTACTGCGGAGTATACGTTCCCAGTGTCGTCATTTTGGTATTTAGCAGATTTCGCGCGTTTTTTGGATTTTGGTGAGTAAATTATTAGTGTTTTTGATTTTGGGTAGATTGTCAGTTTTAACGTGTTATTGTGTGTGTGAGAATGTTATAACTGAAGATAAATTGCTTTTTTCTGAATTACCCCTATGGGGTAATTTCGAATAGTTTGTCTTTTTCAATGTCAGTGGCTCTCAAACAATTTTCTGTTTGATCAAGATCTTGAGATTTAATTGCCAAAACATAAATTTTGTATTAATTTGGTGGCTCTGGCACACTGTGATGGCTGTTTTGACATGAATGTTTTGAGTTTGTCATTATTTATGATGGACGTTTTGTTAGTAATTTTAAATGTGTGACATCATTATTTGTAAGATATCAAAATGGCCATCATTTAACATCACGTTAAAATCAGTCTTGTCAAAATGGCCACCATAGCGCGCTGCTATATTAAGTAACTTCTTACTCTTTTGTTACACTACTTACTGACTGATGTGATTGACAACATTGTGTAACTGTCTCATGAGAACCCTTTCACAAGTCTACAAGCGCCACTCCCAAAAATGGCTATTTGAATTTACCAAATAATATTCAAAAACGGGGGCCGCTACTGTGGCCTATAGTTTGTATTGAAGCACTTTTTGAATACGTTACATTAGTTATTACATAACGGTACTGACTATGGTACTATGTTATAATAGACTATGGTACGGTTATTCAAATTAGGCTGTCCAAAATACTTAGATTTTTTACAGTAGTTTGAAGTAATCGGTTACTTAAGAAAGTGATGTAAGTATTCAAATGGTGCTTCAATACAAACTATAGACCGTAACGGCACCCGTTTTTGATTATTTATTGTTAAATTCAAATAATAACCTTTTTTAGGAGTGGCGCAAGTGGACTTATGATAAAGCTCCTAAATTATTTTTTAAATTCATATTAATTGTTGCAGTGAATATGCCGCGTACATATATAAAAAAGAAAAAAAGCCATATACACAGGAAGACATGAAAAGAGCTCTTGAGGAAGTAAAGAACCATCACTTATCAATGTATGCTGCGTCCAAAAAATATCAAATCCCAACTACGACTTTATTTGAAAGACTGAAAGGAATCAGTACGAAAAGCGTAGGCAGACCACAAGCAATTCCAATCGAAGACGAAAAAAGATTAGCCGAGGCAATCCGAGTCATGGAAAAATGGGGTTTTGGTTTGTCAAGGCGAGAAATTTTAGAAATGGTTGAGGATTATGTCAAGAAAAATAATCTAAATACCGTATTCAAAAACAACAAGCCAGGGACTGACTGGTTTATAAATTTTCGTAAACGTAATAGATTATCCATCAAGAAGCCGCAACCTGTAGAACATGTGCGGAAGCAAATGACGGACCCGTTTATAATTTTTGACTATTTTGATCTGTTGCAAGACACTTTGACTGAACTGGATCTATTTGAAAAACCACATTTAATATGGAATTTAGACGAAACATCGCTATGTATGGACCCTACTAAAACTAAAGCTATAAATAAACCCTGTTCTAGAACCACGTGTGGAAGTGGCAAAGAAAATGTGACAGTTTTAGCTACTGCAAGCGCTGCCGGCAATAAATTGGACCCTTTAATAATATATAAAGGCAAAAATTTATGGGATCAGTGGATTACCGACTCACAAAACTATGACTTCGACATCGCATATGCAGCTAGTGCAAAGGGTTGGATGGAGACAGAAATCTTTTATAATTACTTTGAAAAAGTTCTGATTCCAGCTCTGGGTGAAGAGCGGCCCGTCTTGTTAGTTTATGATGGGCACTCCACACATGTGAATGCAAATGTAGTAGATCTGGCTGTGCAAAATAACATCACAATCATGAAGCTTCCACCACATACATCACACTTACTACAACCATTGGATGTAGCGGTGTTTAAATATTTTAAGATCAATTGGGATGCCAAACTTGTATAGTGGCAGCGGCGTAATATAGGCATTAAAATGCCCAAAAATGTATTCGCGAAAACATTCGCGGATACATGGCAAGAGACGAATCCTGAAATTATCCTGAAACGGTTTCAAAAAATCCGGAATTTATCCATTCAACCGCAACGTAGTACCCGTAGATAAATTCGAGTCAGAAGCCTACAAGAGATACCTGAAAAAAAAGGATGAACATTCTCAAAGCCAGCTAGAGTCCAAAAATCCAAAATCATTAAAAGAACTGTGCGTCCGTGTTTTGAATGAAGAGTTTTACTTTAGTGAGGCTCCTAACCGTGCTGGAAAAGTAGTAAGTACTCTAAGCCAAAATGACTTCAGTTCTGAATATGTGACTTTCTTGAGTCAACTGTCAAAGAAAGACGACGCTTGTCAGCCTTTTGTAGCAAACAATACATCAGATTCACCAAAATGCTTACAGTTCCAAAAAAGCTGTCACCTTAAGCCCAAAGAAAATGAAAAACCTAAGATAAATATTATATCCAATCTAAAAGTTAATTTCGAAGATCTTTTGCTAGAAAAGGTACGACAGGAAAAAAGAAATAAGGTGCCGGTAAAAAAGAAGAGGGTAGCTAAAGGTGCAGAAGTAATAACTCTATCACTAGGCAAAAAAAAATTGAAGAAGGAAAAAAGCAAACTTTACTCGAAAAAGTCAAGACTCACAATAAAACAGGGAAACGTCCTAAAGAAGTTAAACAACCCTCACAAACAGGCACATCAGGTACAAAAAAAGTGAACAAAAGGAGACAGAGCAAAAAGTCAAAACGACAAGAAAATTTAGATAAATCAACTAGCCATTCAGAGACAATTAGCATCTACAGTGACACAGATATTAACGAGTCTTCATTCTTAGACGATTTACTAAACGAAGAAGAGTTTAAATTTTTAGAAGAAAATATCGGCGATGGAACATATGATGAATGTGCCAAAATACTTAATGAAGTAAACGTTTCTAAAAAAGGGAAGGGTAAAGGAAAAAAGAGTAAGGGAAAAGAAAATACGGAAGACAAAAATGAAGTGAATAAAGGTAGTGACAAACCTAAAGAGTTCAGTCCAGACGATTTAAATTCATGCAATAGTGGGAATAATTATGATTTCGACAGAAAAACTGTAAATAATAAAATTAAACAAGAATACGACACTAAAAACAAAAAAAATATGGTATTTTAGACGTTGATAAGAATGACAAAAAGACGGTTAAAAATGGGACTGACATAAAATCTGCGAACACTACTGAAGACGAAGAAGAAAAAGATATCCAGGACCAGAAAGATGGTTACGAACTGAACGATTCAGTACTCGTAAGGTACTACTGCAGAAAAAAATGGAATTACTTTGTAGGCTTTATTGAGAAAGTCATAAACAAGGATGAGGAAACTTACTATACAGTAAATTTCCTGAAAACAATAAGAAGACCGCAACTTACATTTGTAATATCAAAAAAGAAGGATTATGATGAAGTAACAAAGCAACTAATTGTAAAGAAGGTTAAATTAGAAAAAAATAATGAAAGCTACAAAGAATACATATTGTCTGAAGAAAACGACAAAATTTATTTTTGAAGTAGGTACTCAGGTGTAGAAATGATTCGATAAAAAATGATTTGGTTTTCAGGCTGATGTGTTTTTGTGTTGTTTCATACCTTTGATTTTGTTATTGAGTATAAGAAATACTTAAAAAGACTTCATTTCGAGTTGATTTACAAGTGAGAGTCTGTTTAATTTTTGTTTGTATCATATTGGTTTTGTTACTGACTATTAAAAATAAAAAGACATAATAGAGTTCATTTTTAAGTGAGAGTTTATTTAATTAATGTTAATTTAATTTCGTGTAACTGTTTTTGAGTGTTTGAGTTTGAGTTTACTGTATTTGAGTTTTGTGACTTTCTATAAATTTAAAATAATGGGGCCAAATCAACTGCACTTGACTTAAATTATTCGACAAGACTAAACTAAATTTGAGCCACCTATCTATATTTATCTTCTCCATGTAATTAGAATAAGATAGCTCAATTTTTTGCTTTCTGTGTAAGTACACAAAAGTAAATCCTATTTGTTGCTAATATTTTATTAGTGTGATGAGCATACATCGTGCTTATTTGATCTCAAATAAATATTTTTATTCAAGCAAAATATTTTTTTATTGAAGTGTGTCACCTTTATTATTTCCAAATTAATTTTATACATCCTGACCGAAGTAAATGTTGAGGACCGCAGTTTAGGGGCAATTCCGAAATATCAGTGTATGATAAACTGTATTAAGATTGTTCTAAGACGAAACTGTAGAATATTTTTATACATGGGTAAATCTGAACGAAAAAGAAATGTATTCCTTCTATCCTACTTCATAAAAGTCAATTTTAAGTGTCATTCGGATTAACACTGTCATAATTCGGAATTACACTTATTCCATATTTTTGTCAATTAGGTATGTAAATATGTGTAATTAAATATGTATGCGATGATTCAGAATTAAGTTGGTACATATCGTTAGGTTGTATAAATGAATAAACAAAAGTGAATACATTTTGTTGTAATATTAGATAAAACAAGAAAATTTTCCAATGTACGGTACATCCTGTCAACTCATCGAAAAACCTTTCGAAATTACCCCACTCCACCTTAATTTTAAATAAAAAAAATAAAGATATATTATATCCCCCTAAATATAATAAAACAAATAATATTCTTATAAATAAAATTCTTGAATATTCAGCTACAAAACTTAAAGCAAACCCTCCTCTTCTATATTGAATATTAAACCCTGAAACTAATTCTCTTTCTCCTTCTGCAAAATCAAAAGGATTTCGATTAGTTTCTGCTAATCTTGAAGAAATTCAACTTATTCTTAAAGGTAATATTAAAAAAAATCAAATTAAATCCTGATAAATAAAAAAAATTTATTATATTAAAATCTATAATTAATATAATTCTTGATAATATAATTAAAGCAAATCTTACTTCATATGAAATTGTTTGTGCAACAGGTCGTAACCCCCCCCCCCCCCTAATAAAGAATAATTAGAATTTGAAGATCATCCTGCAACCATAACAGTATAAACTCCCATTCTTGTACAACATAAAAAAATAAAACTCCTAAATTAAATCTAATTACATTAAAATAATAAGGAATTGATATACATACTATTAAAGATAAAATAAAACTAATAATAGGAGAAAAATAATAAGAAATATAATTAGAATATATTGGAAAAACTTGTTCTTTAGTGAATAATTTAATAGCATCAGAAAAAGGTTGTAAAATTCCTATATGGGTATATAGGAATTTTACAACCTTTTTCTGATGCTATTAAATTTACTTATGTATATTATTATGTGCTAATAAAATTACTTTATTAGGACCTTTTCGAATTTGAATATAACCTAAAACTTTACGTTCTAATAATGTAAGAAAAGCAACTCCAATTAATACCCCTAAAATTAAAATTAATATTCCTAAAATCATTATTATTATATCTTTGAATATCATTTACTACATATATAATCAAATTATATATTTATGATTTCTAAAATCATTACATTTTTTCTGCCAAAATAGTCATATTTAAAAATACCTACTATTATTAAAATTCTTCTAAATAAAACTATTTTAAATATTTGATCCTTTCGTACTAAAATATTTTATTAATCTAAAGATAGAAACCAACCTGGCTTACACCGGTTTGAACTCAGATCATGTAAGATTTTAATGATCGAACAGATCAAAAATTTTAAACTTTTGCATTTAAATTTTATCTTAATCCAACATCGAGGTCGCAAACTTTTTTTCTTATTTGAACTAAAAAAAAATTACGCTGTTATCCCTAAGGTAATTTTATCTTATAATCGTAAATTACGGATCATTTATTCATTTATTAACGTAAAATTATAAAAAAAGTTATTTTAATTTTTCTATCACCCCAACAAAATATTTATATAAATTGAAATTTTAAATCCTATAAAAAATTTTAATTTATATGAATATATTCTGCTGGATATTTTATTTTTTGATTCATCACTATTCAACATGTAATCTAGCATCTTTTTATGTTTTTTTTTAATTTTAGAAATATTTTAACCAGTATTTCTAGTAGGTTTTATTAGTATTTCCTTAGTTATTCAAATCTAGTACCATTGTAAAAGAATGCGAAAATCTTAAATGTTAGTGAAGAGTTCCGAAAATAACTCGTTTAGAAAAAACGTGAGAACTAAAAGAGAAAACGTGAGAAATAGGCATAAAGCTCTTTAAATTATTAAATTACAGTAACATTGGTGCAGGGAAATAAAAATATAATTGACATTTAATACAATCAATAAAAATACATTTGTAACACTTTTGTAATTATTAGTAAGTTCGTTTTGTTCCTATTAAAACTCTAAATGAAAACAACGCCGCTACTAAGCGATAGCAATAGGTAACTAACAAAATTGCAATAGCGTAGCTAGCCGGTCATTTGTGGTGGAAATAACTAGCTATTCAGCTATTTTGTATATATATAACCAACTGATAGTTTATATCGTTAACTTAGCAACTGTAGCTAAGACTTGAATAACGCTCAACTATCCCATGATTACGTTCGAATCTCGTAGCGGCTTATATATATATATATATATATATATATATATATATATATATATATATCCTCTTTGAAAAGAAATAAATTTCCCTGATAACTATGTCGTACGTATTATTAAGTTAATTCATTAAAAACTATCGTAAAATCTATCTATAATTTGCAATACCATCTATACATATGGGTACGAATTGCTGTTGTTACGCCAGACTTAATTTTTATACAACACTCAACAGCACAAGCGAATCAACATTGCAGCTAGCTAGTCAGCTACGCGCGGCTGCATAACTTAGTGATTTATATGTCCTCTGTGGCAGCTGCCCGCTGCGCCGTAAGCTTGTCGGATAATCGAGGCGCCTCTAACAAAAGCAAAGTAGCTAATAGCTAGTTATCGTGTTGACGAATATCATATCCGCGGCTATTTTCTAAATAGGTGCTACTTAGTTAGCTACTTGAAGAGCTACCCATTTCTACTAAACGGATAAAGGCATACTTCATCAGCGTCAAATCATCCTATAACGGCATATTTTTAATATTATGTACCTTGTTGGCTGGTAAGCAAGTATGTATTCATTTGTCTTCTAATTATAACATAAAGGTAATAATATAATGACATTTTAATGGGAGTGTAACAAATTAATATAAATAGCTATAATATGTATTCAATTGCGTCCAGTGGCTGCGGCTGTCGTAAGAGATGATGATGTGACAGAGGAAAATAAAACCAATACGCTTATTTTAAATTATCGAGATTCAATTTCTCACTAATAGTTAAACAAATTTGAACCTCATACTTGGAGGTCCATCCAAAAATAATTTAACAAAACTGAATCACTAAAGTAAATTGAATTCACTAAAGTAACAACAAACAGTCAAACCATATCGCGTTTTTTTTCTATTAACTTCGTCTATCGTACTAATTCAATATTAAAGAACAATAATTGATGTTATACTCACTTCAAGCAGGTTTATTTATCTTAAACTTTACAAAATTTGTTGTTTCACATCTACGTGTAGAAGATGTTTTCAAATTACTTCTTTGATAAGCACGTTATAAATTTACTACAACACAAATTGTGAGTTTTACTGTATAAAATTAATATAAATAATTAGGAATTTTCTTCTTCTAAACCTTTGTCTCTCTGTCAGCAGACAATAATTTTTCCAGTACACCGCTTGAGACAAGCAACAATTAAAAACTTAATTTATTTTTAATTTTATTATTCTTAGAAAATGGTTCATGATTACTTTAAAATATTATGGTTATTTTCAAATAACAAAATTTCGGGTGTAAAAGAATTGCACTAACTTACCCTTCCTATTTTGATCTAATTTGTGACACACATGTAACGATTTTTGCTTCAACTATGTACATTGATAAAAAAGTTAGAATATGGGTCACACAAAGTCCACCAAACGATTAGTGGATGATGTAGCCCATTGATATCTACACCAGAATTGAAGTTGTTCAAAACGACAATAAATCAATAGCACGCTACAGACTATAAACTATAAATTTCTAGCGCGCTATTAAATACGCTATGTTATAGCGCGCTATTTATAAGAAAGCGTGTAGGCCGGCAAGCGCATTAAGTTTTGTAGCACGCTATATCTCGTAGCACGTTATATGAGATGTCGTTAGTTGGATAGACCGCGTGCTATATAAGAACATTATTTCGTAATAAGTCGCATTTTAGACTAAAATAAAATAAAGCGGTAAAAAGAACCAATTAACTTTCTTTCATATTTTTCAGACTTACGACTTTCTATAATCCAAAAAATATTTTTAAGGCATGTACTTTTTAAAACAAAATAAAATTAATTGATTTTTATTATAATCGGTGTTAACGTTATTTTAACCTTAATATAAATTATAAATCAATTAAAGGTGTATTTAAAAGTTTATTGATTGTATATACGAAAATCAACTATTTACATACACTATTATAATATACAGTTTTGTATCTATTTTTTTTTACATTTAAAAAC